CTTTTGAAGTTTGAGGTTAAATTTTCTTGTAAAATACAAGAGTTCGTTGTTTTTAAACTGGCCTATTGTAGGTGCACAATGGTAAGGCATGACAAATGTATATACACACTGTGAAATGATTAAATGGGGAATTGGCATGTATGTCAGCTCAGAGATTTACAATTTCTTTACGGTAAAATACTAAAATTCAACTGTCCTAAGTATTTCAAAATACATTATCCATTATTGATTAAGGTCATGTTATTGTGTAATAGTGTAACAGAACTCATGGCTCCTACCTAAATATAATTCCATATACACTGCCAAACATCTTTCCAGTATCCTCTGACCTTTGCAATCTCCAATAGCAAGTATTCTATTGTCACTTTCCATTATCTTGATTTTTGTCTTGTATATGTGAGAACATGTTGTCCTTCCCTTTGTGCCTCTGGAATTTTACAGTAAGTGTCCTCCAGGATCATCTGGGTTTGAAAATTCCATGTTTTTATGTTTGAAGAGTGTTCTGTGTGTACATATGTAAATACACACACCTGTGTACCACATACTCTTTATCAGTTCATCCACTGTGGAACGTGGAAGTCAGTGTCATCTCTTGGCAATAATATACAGTAATGTACACAATATAGAGCTTTAATACACAAAGATATGTCCCCAATTTATGTTTGTTTCCATTTATAAGTTTGATTCCCACAATTTGTCCTACAACCAGAAACAGAATGTAAGGCATTGAGAAAATATATTTTCTGTGCTTCAGGAATTTTCTTTAGCCACACACAGATCCACAGATCATTTCAGAAATTTACAGGTTAGAGGAAAAGGTTCCCCAGATATCACCTTCACAAACTCTTAGTACTTTGACAAACCTAGGTGACAATGAACCTCTCATTCTCTTCCAACATCTAGCCAATGACCACATGCTCACACGCTTGAAACTGCTAGGTTCGCCCTCTTTGGCTGCCACCTAAAACTCCAGATTCATAATCTATCCCACTGTCTTCAGGTCTTCTGATCTGGGATGCTCTGGTTCTTTCATAATTAGACTCAGAAAAGTAGTGCCTTTGAATCAGCTGAGAACTCTGATGCCCAGACTCTACTCAGAACAACTATAACCAGCTCTTTCATGGAAAATCTCTACAGTAGGAATGATGGTGTTTGCCATGTGTACTAACTGGAGTCTTGGATTCTAGGTTCAGAAACCACCTCAGGCTGAAGCAGCATTTCCACTCAAATTCTGGAGAACTATAAGGAGGAATCCTGACAAGACAAACTGGATGCTTCAAGGAATAAAGGTGTTGCCCTGGCCTTTCTTTCTTTTTCTCTATTTTGAATGGCTCTGCTATGATGGTAGTGGGAATGATGTGCAAGATCTATGGAAATTTAGGAGATTAACTTCCTAGTTACAAACAAACAAACAAAGATACAACCACTTTCTGGTTTCCCTCATGTTGTAGCAATCACCAAGGCCACAAACCTCCCACTCTATCCCTCCCCAAGGACAGAGCCTGGACCACACTTGGATTAAACACTAATCCTGCAATCCCATTGCAGAAATTTAGATGAAAAATGAATAAAATTTGTTCATCGAAGCATGACAAAGCGATCTGGACTTTATGCCACATATTTATTATGTGTTATGGGTGATTCTTAAGAAATGATGTGAAAAGATGAAGTCCCACTTCATAAAGCATAGACAAAGCAAAAGTCTATGGATAGAATAATCTATCCAAGGCACAGGTTCCCTTCCTATGGACATGCTCTGCTCTGCTACTGCTGATTAAGAAACCATTACAGTAAGAAATGGATTCCATACAACAAATACAAGTGTTCTAACACGAATTTACCATTTGTACATTGGTCCAAGGCCATGGGCAGAAAAAGAGTGATTCGCTCACATTTGGAGAGTTTAGTGCAGTAGAACTCTCGAGCAGAGTAAGTAAGTGATGCTGATGACAAAAGAACACTCAGCAGAACTGTGGTCTGAGACAAGATGTGCAGCCTACAACTATCCATCCTGCCTCAGGAGAGGGGAATCATCAGACAGTTGTCACTGAATGAACCTGAGTGGGTTTTAATGATAATACTTGTAAATATTATAAACCAAAGATTATTTCATGAGAGCGCTGGCTATAAGTATTTCTGGTCTATCACTATGAGAGGCTTCAGTTCTTCTCCTGTGGTCTCCTCTGCAAGACTAGGAGTTCCTCAAAGTATAACTCATGGGTTCTAGTGTGAACACGTTCCTGAGTCCCTCTTGACTGATATAACACAACACCATGTATCAGGTCATTGATAACTGTATTATACATAGCAGATGGCACCAATTTCCTGCAGTTATAGAACCTATGAGTCTAAGATGAAAAGTGTCAAAACATTTATTCTGTGGTGATAGCCCATTTCCTGGTTGATAAAGATACTTTAAAACAATGACCCCACTTAGAAAAAGGGACAAGTCAGTTCTCTCAGCCTCTTTTATAAAAGACCTACACCATCAGTGTGGGTTCTTCCCTGTTGACCCAATCTTCTGAGAGAAGACCCCACACATAAATTTCATAATCTTTAGGAGAAATGTTTCCACAAATTAATTTCAGTAAGAGGTAAGCATTCAGACCATAACATCATCCACTAAGAAGAAAATATGAATATTTCAAGTCTTGGAAACAAAACTACACCATGGTGATATGTGTGAGATTTTGTTACTGGTCAGGAAATTACTAAATATATGCTCAAGAGGACCTGGAGAAGCCTTCATTTGTATGCACATGTCACACGATTTCAGGGCATCTTAAAGCACTGTTTTCCCTCCTAGGAGCTGTGTGGTGGAAGGCTGGTGTAGCTCCATCAAGGTCAGAATGAGTCTAACAGACCCTTTATGGGTGACCAGCATTGCTTGAGGTATAATGCCTCTGAAAACATCACTTACCAAGACCATCTAATGCCTCTCTCTCTCTCTCTCTCTCTCTCTCTCTCTCTCTCTCTCTCGCCCATCTAATGCCACTTTCTCGTCCATCTGTCCAGCCTGTGGGAAATCCAGAAGACATTATGTCTCAAGCAACACTCACAAGAGTGTTTTGGCCATGTTGTTATAGGTACCTGTTTATCCTCAACTGGTGGCAAAAAATAGCTGCACCAAGTACCTCCAGAGAATGTCATGAAGTATACATATCAATCACACAGGAGACACCATCAGAAAGTGTACAGCCACACATCAGAACTAATGTACAATCTCATCCCTACTCCACTGAGTGCCTTACCTCGCTCTAATGCTTGTAACCTAGGTTCTGAGGAGGCTCACTGAGAACTAGCTTTCAAATCCTTCTCTACACATTCATTGCATATTTATTCTAGTCACTGTCACCAAGTATAAAGCATGATTTGTGAGTCACACATTGCCTTTGTGCTCTTTTATACTTACTGACATTAGTGATTAAGCCTCAGCCACAGGCCTATGGCGTCCAGGATCCACTGTGTAAGCAGCGATGGACAAACAAGTGTTGTCTAGTCCTGGACAAGATAGATTAGGGGTCCCTCTTGGAAGCCCTGCTTGCCCCAGCTTTTCCAAATTGCCTAACTGTCCTTGCACCACAGGTGTTGGAAATACCCAACAGAAATTAACCACAAAATTATTAGGACATCACAAGTGACCATTTAATAGGGCAAGTCCTTTCTGTGAGGGCACAGCTGCTGTTGCATCCCAAGATCTGGACAGAGGAGTCCTGTCTCTCCTGATCTTCTCTCTGCACAGCCCAAGGATCTGTAAGTAATGAAAGTCTGTGAATTTTCTAATATCGGTATGTAATTGGAAGCCATCTGCAACTGACTCCCTAAGGAAAGGTTGCTCTGGGGCACCCACATATGCAGACACACTTCTAGGGCTCTACTGTATGGGCCTCTGGTGGCTTCTAATGATAGTATTTACAGGGTCAGGAGAGTTTCAAACCTTATTTCAAAACACAGATGTCTTCCTTGTCATTCAAGTATGGAGAATAATATAATCTGAAAAATGTCTTTCTCTTTTAAGAAACATGTCTTTGGTTCACTTTCTTTTTATTGTTTGCCTTGGTCTTGGCTTCTGAGTTGCAATTGTTGCCTATATATGGATAATGGTTTCTTCTCAGGTGTTTGCTTTGCCAACCTTTCCCACCATATTCTAGTCAGCCATTCCACTCCTTTTTGTATGTAGAATCTGTACAACCCAGATCAATCACTTTTGCCCACTTTGCTTTACTCCTAGGACATTTGGTGTCATGCAAGAAATCACAGCAAATGCCCAGCTCTGAATTTTCTTTCAGTAATTTTATGCTTTCAAGTGTTATATACAGGTCTTTAATTCATTTTATTTGAGATAAAGATCCAATTGTGCATCAAATGATTGGGTTGTGTGCTTTAATACTGACAGTTTTAATTGCCACTCATACCAGCATAGAAGTGGAAAGAATGAACATTTCTTCCTCCTGGACCAATACTTTACCTAGAATACCAGGATTACATTTCATCCACACAGTTTGATTAGAACAATGTGGTCATCATATGTGCTATAACAGATTGAACTCTAGCAAACCTTGACTAACAAACATCATCAAGATCCAGATCTGACCCCAAAGTCGATAACTTCAGAAGGCATCAGAATCCATCTTCGGAGACTTAGAGGCGTTGTATACTTGAGCTTAAAGCATGAGACTGATGCTTCTTTTCTTCTGTTTTAACAATAAAAAGCAAACACTCATTCAAATGGAAAGTACAAAAGTCAAGTGGCAACAGGAAACAATCCTAACTAGCTTAAACCAAAATATTCATCACACACACAGATGGAGGTATTTTGTGATGGATGCTGTTAGTACTAGAGTTTCAAGAGGACTCCAAGAACAGTTCCCTCTTCTGATCAATGCAGGCCCTGTTCAACTGCAGGGCCTATATTGGACCCTTCTGTTCACATAACCTGCCCCCCCATACACACACAGTTGGTTTGTAATTTTTTTTAATCCTCTAGGAAGCCTGTGGCCATGAGAACACTTGCTCTACTCATTGCTCTTCTCCTCCTGGCCTTCGAGACCCAGGCAGAGACTTTCCAAGGAACTGATGAGGGGGTTCTAGACCAGGAGCAGCTAGGAGCAGACAACCAGGATATGTCCATATCCTTTGGAGGGGATGAGAGCACTGCTCTTCAATATGCAGGTGAGAGACGTCGACATGTTAGAGGTATGGAGTGGAGAAAAGGGATGGGGATAGACTCTGAAATCAGGTCACCCAGGAAAATTTATTACTTCTCTATTTTTCTCTTTCAACAGCATTTCTTTCTGCAAAGATTTTTATTCCAAAGTACATTTGTGATTATCACTGGGTTAATTCATAAAGAGAATTGTAACTAAGTATTTATCTAGATCAAGATGGCCTTACTTGGTCATAGGAATGATATTTTATTTTGTCTATTATATTTTAGTATCTGGAGGTATATGTTTAGATATTTATGTAATGGCAGGATGCATGAATATGTGCAATGGTAGGACACAAGAGTGAAAACAAACAAAATTAAGTCAAATTGGTACTGGTTTTAGTTTTGTGCAGGTCCAGTATTCACCATGTACATTTATTCATATTGATTGTGATTGCTCAGGCTGCTGTCAGTAATGATGAATGTGGGGGACCCACTTCACCCAGAACACATCTTGCCCAGGATACCTTCCACCTTACTGACTCAGACACTGAGTGCTTCCTGTGATCTCTATGTCCGCAGATGTGAGGTCACGTGTGACCTGCTATTGCAGGAGAGGCGGCTGTGGTTCTAGAGAAAGCCACATTGGGTACTGCAGGTACCGTAACACCATCTACCGACTCTGCTGCCGCCGATGATCACTAAGAACAAGAAGGATCGGTTTGCAATATGAGTTGAGAGTCTGAAGAATACTATTTGTCCTGCACTGTGTCCTTCAGTATCTTCCTCTTTTGTCTCTAAATAAAGTACTTGCAGCAAGTTCTCTGTGTGTGCTGTGCTTCTCTACTGTCTCCAAACAAGAATCAATAACAGATTGCTATAAATAAATTCCTGGCTCCAGTTTGTAGGAATAGTGGCCAGGTAGTCTGAACTGGCCATTTCCTGTAATCAGATTGATGACTATCCTAATTGTCATCAGAGAGCCTTTGTCCAATAACTGATGGAAGCAGATGCTGAGATTCACAGACAAGCTCTTGGCCAAGCTGCAGAAATCATGTTGAAGAGACAGAGGTAGGATTGAATAAGTCTGGAGGGTCAAAGTTATCACAAGGAACACACAGAGACAACTAACCTGGCCTCACAGGAGCACACAGATATTGGGCTGACAGTTAAGAAACCCAGATGGGAATGATCTAGGGCTTTGACATGCATAGAGCTGAAGTATAGCTTGATCTATTTGTAGGACTCCTAGCTATGGGAGCAGGTCCTGTCCCTGATGCTTTGACAGGATTTGGGGAACATAGTCCTCCTACTGGGTTGCCTTACCAAGGCATATAAGAGGGATGGCGCTTAGTCCTACCTCAACTTGATATGCCATGCTTAGTGGACACCCATGGGAGTCCTGCCCTCTATGAACAGAAACAGAGAGTGGATTGGGGAAGGGCAGTGGGGAAGTAAAAAGGGAATGGGAGGAGAGGAGGGAAGGGAAACTGCAGACAGGATGTAAATAAATGGTTACACTTAATTAATAAAGTTTTTAAAAGAATGGTTAGAAGGCAGAGTATAATATAGGAAGCAAAGCAGGAAATCCCACCCAGATGTGCTCATCTCCACAACTATGTGCCCACATCTGGTGAAGCTGCATTAGATATACATAGGCCATGCTTTTAAAAACACAAAATCTATGTGCTCTGGTCTTTATCAACACCTTAAGAAGTATAGGTGTAGGGTCTTAAGATCCCTTTATATATACCTCTCAATTTGTGCTAAGCTGTTGGAAATTGTGACTGGTATCACTTACATAACAACATATGCCAGGAGACAAGAGGTACAGAAGAGGGATAAGGTGTCCCAGAACAGTTTCCTCAGTAGCCACACCAGCTCATGCCTCCTGTACAGGTGCCTAGATCTCTGAACTGAGCATGGTGGACTGCCAGGGACCTGGAGGCCTCAAACCTCCAATCTTAACAGCCATCTGACAAATTTGTCAGACATATTTAAGCATGGATTTGTGAGAATGCTCCAAACTTCTTCTTTTCCACCTGCATAAAAAGAGATTCCCAAGCCTTCCAAACTCTGAAGTGAAAACAAGAGGTCATGGTAGCTTCTCTGAACTCACACCCTCAGTGATGTTTAAAGGATCTCTTAGTTTGTAGACATCAGCCTCTCTTGTGGAGTCTCTTTGCTCTTCTTGGAATGTTTGCTTGGAAGTAATGTGGTAACGTTAAGTGTTCAGCAGGTTGGGGTGCAATGCCTACTGCTCTGAGAAGCCTCTGAGGACTCTCTGGGAAATAAAGACCTTTAGGACAGCTGTGCCACCTGCTGGCCACTACCATGTCATCTGTCCACTTCTCTATGACATAGTGTGGATTCTTGGTCTACCACTGTACATCGGGAATCAGAGAGCCATAAATTGATGGTTAACCCTACTCTGACAGAGTCCTTCCTGTCTGCAGTCTCTGTGGGAAGCTGCCCTGGGCTGTTTGCACAGCAGTGCCATCATGTGGACATGAAGTGCCATTGCAGTGTGGAAACTAGGTCAGTGCTTTAAGCTTCTGAGGAGAAGGGTAGTGCAGGAGCTTGGTCTCAACACAGCCTTCAACTGTGGCTGGAATTCTTGTGGTTGTTGATCATTCTTCTCTGTGGAGTTAAATATATGGCAAGTGGAGAAGACAAAAATAGGATCCTAGTTGTTGGAACACAGTCCAGGAATGGAGTTGTGTCAGCAGAACTCTGAGTGCCTGTGTGAAAAGTCCAAGAAAGCAAGACAAGAGTCTGTGACCTCAGTTTATTCAAAACATGGAATTGTCTTTGGAATGTGTTTTGCTACCCCTTCCAGGTGTACTGGGTCAGGATGAGTTTACTTTAGATTAGTCCTTAATTGCTTTCTGCTGTTATTGAATTAAATGTAAACTTTCCTTGGCTGTGTGGAAAAACATATTTTGACACCTGTGGTTGTCCTTTGATTATGAACAGCTTGAAATCATTCGAACGTTATTCATGTGGCCTTTCTTAACCAACAGAGTATAAATTGTCTGGGGTGCTGAATAAAGTTGGCTATGGCATGAGACTTGAATCTGCCTTTTTTATTGGTTCTGTTCTCCCAGGTTCAGTGATGCTTAGGATGGATGCCCCCATTGCCTAAATCCCATCCCAGCCTTGACCGTCATCCTAGCCTTCTTTGCCCCTGATGATGACATACTAATTTCAGGAGAGAAGCAGTTTGAAGAAGTACACCACCTGTTATGCTCAACAAAAGGCTGGAACGTTACATCCAAAAGAAACTTGTTCATTCTACCAGAAGGAGTCACTTCCCTTCTATGTGGCAAAATGACAAATGGCTACCTGACATACCATAGCCCACGCTGGCCTCCAGACTCCTTCAGTATCACAAATACATATTAAAATAAAACTTGGAAAAGGAAACTCAAGATGGAGACTGGCACAGGATTGAATGGTTTACTCCATGATTACCAAATTTTCCCTGAGTAAAGCAGATTTTTTATTCTCTCTCTCTCTCTCTCTCTCTCTCTCTCTCTCTCTCTCTCTCTCTCTATCAATTTATATATCTGATACATCCTAATGCTCATTTGTGGGTGTGAAGGACAAACTGTATAAAAACACTTAAATCAAACTCCAAGTTTCAACTCTTTCCCCTAGAGCCAGTGGGCATGTGTTAAGCTACTAAACTGTAACCATGCCATCTTAATAACAAAAATCAGCTTTCTTAAAATATTACACACACAGGTTCAGTATCAACCTGTAACTCAACAGGAATCAATGATTTGATCTCACTGATCTAGAGCCAGTGGGAGACTGTGAAATTTCATCTAGAGGCCATCTGAGAACAACCTGAGGCCCATAAGACAATACCAGGAACCCCAGAATGAAAAGACCCCCAGAAGTTCTGTCACACCTGAGGAAACTCACTCACATCGTGGCCTTTGCCTTTTAAGGCCACCCTCCCTTGCAGCTGTCAGTTCCAAATCAAACCATGGTAACGAAGGATAGTTACAATTTAAATATAAATTCAGTTAAATTCAATTTAAATGAGTCTATGGTCTCTTAGCATTTTCTGAGTCTTTATCCCTGGAGCTAGGATGTTTTTCTAAAAAGACTTTGAAATAAGATTCTGATGCTTGAACTCAAGAGTCTTTACAAAGACACAAACCAAATATCAAAGAAATACTAAGAAGTTAATATCAATGAAAATGTAAGAATTTTCTAGAGGGGACTTTGAGATGAAAGTAAATTGAAAACAATGCATTAACAATTTCCTTATAATAACCAAGAAAATTAGGAATTTACTGTTTTTCTACTTTCCTTACACAACACAAAGCCGAGTTTCATGCTGTGACTCATACAGGACTTTATTCTTCTGCTGGGCATCTTTTTATGAAGCAATGTTCCTTAGCTGGGTGGTGGTGGCACACTCCTTTAATCCCAGCATTTCTGAATTTGAAGCCACTCTGGTTTAACGAACAAGTTCAAGGATATCCTGGGACACACACACACACACACACACACACACACACACACAAACCTGTTGAGAAAACATTCCTGGGTTGGACCTAGAAACATGGACAACATTAGACATTAAAAATATGTCTACTACACAATGGTGGAGAATCTGAGAGGAGCCACTTCTGAGCTGGTGGGTCTGTTATGCTGGGTACATTAGAGCAAGCAGCTTGATCAACTCTGCTGGTAGGAACTGAAATGCAGAGGAGCTATTGTTCTTTCCAGGAGTGAGAATTTGTCTTACTGCCTGGCCTCTATGTGTAACTAGTGTGGCTGCTTGTATTAAGGGTGTGTGCCACTACTTCGTGGCCTCCATGGTTAACTAGCATGGCTGGGTATTCACTCTGATCTTAAGGGAAACTTTGTTAAATAGTAAACAAATATGACCACATTTCCCAATGATGTGGGTTTTGTCTGTGTCACCCCATGTATATGAGTGTCTCATGCTTTTTCTCTTTTTTGTCTCTTCAATTTATTCTTGTTTGTTTGTTTGTTTTATTTGCCTGCTGTTTTTCTAAAGAAATAGAGAAGGCATCAAGTTGGAGTGGTGGAGAAGTTCTGGGAGGAGATTGAAGAGGGAAAACAGTGATCAGAATATATTATAGGAAAAGAACAATTTGAATAAAATCATCAGAAACACAGACAGAAATGTTGATGCTGTGGATACAAGGAGCTATAAGAAGAAATAAGTACTGAAAGCTGTGGTCATGGTTGGGTGCTGCACGGCTGAGAACAACAGTGTGAATGTCTGTGAAGTCCAGGGGGAAACCTGGCAGCCTGAGTTCACAAATTGGTCAGGTCAGGATTAAAGTAATAGTCCAAGATCAACTACAGAACTTCAATTAAAGATTTATATGTTAGCTGAGGATGGAAAGTAGGTTGGGGCTGAGAAGGGCAGAGAAAAAGCCAGGATAGTCAACAAAGATGTCCTTGGTGTCACCAAAGTCACTCTGTAGTCTGTGACTCATCAGTGACATCTCCAGAGCTGAAACCTGTGCACTTGCTGGGCAAATACACTTGATGTTTATGTCAGAACAACCAAGTTCATGAAACACTGCTTGGAGAGAAAGACCTTGAGTCGGGGCATGATGTAGTAGTCATGTGTTTATGCCAGGAAACCACTAATACAGAATGTGCTAGCATTACAAAAGTCAGTGGGAATGACAGAGGACTTAAC